TTCAAAACCATTGTCCATACTCATTGCGTGCACAAGAATGGTGGGTGATTGCATCTTGACCTCTAAACGGAGAGAATCGATCAGTCCTAATGTGAATAAACTGACTTTCTTATCATAGTGTACCGTAATGACTTGGGCCAACAGCCTTTAAAACTATCGTTGACACTCCTCAACCGAGCCCATTTGCTTAAGGTTGACCACACTCAATAGGTTGTTTTGCACAGGTGATCCAGACCGTAGGGTACAATACGCCATGAATGTTTTTATATTATATGTAGCTCATCTTGCTATAGCAACAGTACCAAAGTTGGGCTTCTCCTAACATGCGAAAAGCTGCTAGATTAACCTTATCGAATGCAGCGGTCTGCTGATTAGTAAAAAATTGCTCGCATCAATAGAGTTATATCAAAGGATCTTATGTCCCGTCGTAGGTAGGGAAGTCCAACTTGGTGTTGCGTGGGATAATTCCTCAACTTTCTAGCTTTATATTTACAGTTCGCGATTCCAACCGATTGTCAACAAGACTAGATTGGACTATGTGACTGTTGTCGGCTTCTGTTCCACCCTCAAAATCCCTACTGTATGACTGTGCAGCTATCTTAAAAAAAGTCTCCATCTACTAAGATAGTTATTGCAGCTTAGCATCCATTTAGACCTCTGATTCAGCTATCAGATTTTTCATTTCCTCGAGCAATCCTTGCTCGCTCATGGTATCTAGTTCTAATACCAAATTGTTATGCTCTCTAGTTAAGGATCGAGTCATCAGACGATTAACAATAAAGTTGTCTTCTAACAAAGGGTTAATACCCTTGATCTTATCATGAGAGTGACCTATTTTGTAGAAATAAATTATAACTCATCAAAAGAGATCTACTACCTTAAACTTCGTTAAAGAGAGCTACAATATCATAATTTAAGATAAATTCTGATTTATTTTTATCAATAACAAGCATATCCCTTTAAATAGAAATTATAATTTTAATTTAAAGATCTTAATTTAATTAGAAATCTAAGTTTATTTAGAAATATTCTACTAAAATGTAGAAAATTTTATACTATTTAGAAATGTAATACTAATATAAAATCTTATACTATTTAGAAATTCAATAATAATGGAAAATCATATACTATTTAGAAATCTAATAAGTAGAATTTCATGTTTAATTGAACTTCCACCTCCTATTATTTAGAAATCTAATACTAATTAGGATTTTATGAATAATTTAACTTCAACCTTCTCTTGATGCCCTACAAATGCGTCCATAATATACCAAGTATGAAACTATGTATACAAACTAATGAAACGCACGTCGGAAGGCACTAGAAAGCAGATGTACAAGAACATCATCAAATCAATGAATTCAAAAAGAAGTAAACAACACCAATACCTCTCCACAGCTTTCTCACAAGGGTCTTCATTTTCCCAATCAAAAGAAAGGAATACCCGAGAGTCACTTTCAGCAATATCAGTTGCAGAACCATGCCAAGGGTCAGGAAATGCACTATCTTGACCGTCTGTCAAGGTTATTGGAATGTTACTGCTGTCAACAATTTTATCTTCTTCTGACTCAGAGTCACTGTCATGCTCACGAAATCTCTTAATTGCAGCTCTTGGTTCAGGCTCAACCATTCCTTCATCCTCTTTTTGTTTAGCTGTAACAGCAAACTCAGAAACTCTGTGAAGATTTGTTTGCATTTGTATCCATCGATTCAAAGTTGGGAACCTGTAAAAAGATGCTATGTTTAGATATCTTCGGGTAAACATTCACTTCAGTTCTCCATACCACTTATCTTACCTCTCAGATTGATCAAGCGCAAACTCATAAAACAACCTGTCAGCATCAGGTGCATGAAATAATTCATCGTTCAATGAGCTGGATATAGTAGAGTCACTACCACTGTATAATATAGTGCTCCCAAAAACACAAGCTAAGACAGCTCTTACTGGTGATATTTTAACCAAATGCTTAACTATATCCAGCTGTAGTGGGTACAAAGGCACCCCAGGAGTTGCTGAGGAGCGGGTGTAACAATTAGGCTTAGCTTCTTTTGAAGGGGAGAGCACTTTATTTTCTGAGCAACTACGAGAACAGGTAGGAGTGACTGGAATGCAGGCCCATCCATTACCAGACCGTGGAGGATAAACCGGTGGTACACAGGCTGATATCACTTCATGGACAAAATCAGCAGACATAATTTCAGCTATCTTCCCAGCTGCATCGGTGCTGCCTCGATCAAAGACCAAACGAGTTAAAAGCTGCAATAAACAACAGTAAAATGTAAGTGATTCTCTGGTAAGTGCATTCCCCAATTAATTCGTCCTTATTAGATCAGAAGATTACTAATTTATTCCAATGGAATTAGGCAAGAAATGCCTTCAAGGAAAAGATAAACCAAAAAAAGAATCTCCTGCTCTGAAGTATCAAAGAGCACCTTAAGCACAGGCAATAAGATTCTTACATCTTTGGGCCACTCATATACAAGTGAGAAAAAGTTGAAATCATGGGTTGTATCTGTTCCATCTACAATGTCACCAATTGCAGCTATGTGGAGAATAAACTGTGATAGGTATGTTGTTGGTTTTGTGCTTAATGGACTAAACAATCTCTTCCCAGTATCTCTCATATCATAAACAACAGACTGCATGCTTGTATCTCCAGCAACTGAAGTTAATGCTGTCTGTTTGATAGCCTTTAGCCCAAGCCCAAGAATGCCATCTTTGTCAATATTTGATACAACTTTTTGATCCGTGTAGGAGCCTTCCCCTTTAATAAAATTTATCTCTGTTTCTTCATCAGCAATAGCTCTTGCTAGATTATGAAGCTTCCCTAAGATTTAAGAAGATAATGATACATTAAAACCACTCAAACCAAATTTTACCAGTACAGCACAAGAATAGCAAGTGATTCCAATTTAGAACCTAAAAAATACAAAAGCAACAGGAAGTACCACTTAGGAACTGTCTCTTGCCCATATGAGCATCTTCAATCATCTGATGAAGCATTGCAAGAGCACGCTCCCTTTGTCCCTGCCGTTGAGACTCCTTAGCAGATGGAACAATGATTTCACCAGACAAAATGGCCTGAAGAGCAGGAGGGTTATCCTGAAGAATGGATAATGCAGCAGGATCAATAAGCAGGAAAAACCTTCCTGTCGAGCATGTCAAACACATAACATAAACCCAAATTGAACACTGACAACCCTGATAATTCATTTCTTATTCAATTCCAAATTAATTCCCAGATCTAATTAATGTTTAATTATACGATTTCTTATATTTAAGTTATCACTACCCCTACCTTGAGTTCCTTGGAGGTGAGAAATTAGTTCCTATTTCTCAATTTAGAAATTATATTCCCACTCCACCCCCATGAAATCTTAATTCCCACTTCCAAGAAATTCAAAATGGTAACAGAAGGAACTCAAATGTTGTAATTGTATAAATGACTACATATTGCTAGGAAAAAGAACCATCAGGATCTAAGGATAGAAAGAGTAACGATGACGCAAAACAGGAAGATTCTAAAATGAACATATTTGAATAATAAAATATATGATGCAGAAACAATAAAGGAAAACAAACGTTTTGGTACTTCTATACCAAAAAGAATAGGAGGATTTAATTTCCTTTCATAGTCTCAGAAAATTTTACAATAAAAGGAAATAGCAAGATCTAATTTCCTATTGCCAAGTATTTTCCCAATTCTTTCTACTTTAACTTATTTTTCTATCTTTTAGGTTTTTTAAATTTTCTATTTTTGCTATATTTTGGTACCTACATAGAAGGGAACTTAACATAATTATTAAATAGACTATTTATGATTATTATTCACATATTGAGATATTGTATTGATTATTTTTTTCTTTTAGATCAATAAGAGTTTGGGAGATGGATTTCAAACAGCTGAGAGTTTGATAATGTTCTGATCTAACTTCTGTGGATAATGTTTATCACTATATATCACAAAGAGTTTGATTCCCGTAAAAAGCACTAAAGCCATTTTTGCAAATAAGGATAAGTTCTAACTTTATATTAGTTTGAATATACACAATTCTACGACTTTTTTCTATTTAAGTTCATCCTCATCCCCACTTTGAGTTCTTTTGGGGAGAGAATTCAAGTCCTACTTCCAAATGTTGATATTATATTTGCAATCGCTAGGCAGTAGTTGATAGGGGTGAGCGAACCTGGACCAGACTGGACTAGACCATATTCAGCTCAGGAGATTAGGGACCAAAGACACTGACCTGGTCCAGTTAAACAAAACTTTTTTTGAGATATAAATGAATTACTTATATATGTATATATAAGAATATATTTTTAAAAAAATCAGAATATATTCCATTAACATAAAGAAGTCGATGTTGTTAGTGAAGATGCTAGTAGCAATTAATGTATATTTTTAAAAAATTAAAATCTTGGTCAATTCGATCCATTTCAGTCCCGTCTGTCTGGACCAAAGTGATACCAATCTAATCTTCAGTCCAGATATTTTGCCACCTTCAGTTTCCACCAGTTCAGTCTGATCTATGGAGGATATCTTACCCACACCCAGGTTGGGCTTCATAATACATTTCTCCTTCTAACAAAAATGATCCCTTATTTCAAAGGGGTTGTGAGGTGAATTTGCACTAATGTTATTTTCTTTAGTTTTGCATTCTTTGTTTTTTTCTTTATTGAGAATGCCTTACCTTTCTCTAGATTGTACTCTCTTTCTTCTTCAACTAATATTCTTCTTTTATCAAGAGAGGGATGTGGGGAAAATGAATATATGACAAAGACAATGAGCATAAGAGGTGGAATAGACATCAAGTTTAGTTAATATTGTAAAATCCTTGAACAAGTATAGCAAAATGAGAGCTTGCAATTATACCTGTTCTAGCAACTCATGCAAGCACTTAAGGATTCGACGTGAAACAGAAATAATTCCGACTTCATGAATCTGATCCCAGTAAGTAGAACCTGCCTTTGGAGAACCTCCTGGATATATTTCAGATAACATAACTTGAGCCTGCATATTATAAAGGTCAATGCATAGTGTAATGACAAGCCCCTAAAAAGAGTTTGCACAAGAAAGCCGAAGGAACTCCACATCTTTGTGTACGTATATATGTATACACCGAAAGCCTATAAAGACGCACTTAAAATAATCGGATTGCTTGGAAAATACCTCAAGAAATCAGTAAGATCATCATCCACCGAAAATGAAAATCAAAGTCGTTTCCTTTTTGCAGGTTATGGATTGGCTTTGTTATGAGGACAAAATCAAATTGATTATAAAAGACAAGTTGCACTAATTCAGTTGAACTAATAAGGATGAGAATAGACTTGTAGGTGAGCAAGAGCTATATATATTTTGACTGTGTATTATGACAGTAAAACATCATTTTGCAGATTATAAAAAAAATACTAACAAATTGAGACAGCACCAACCAGAAAGGAAGAAAATGTGACAACTAAAAACGCATCAAACAAGAACTTCAAATTTCAAATATAGATGATTGCCTGATCCAAAAGTTGTTCGGACATTTTAGCTGATTTTGCAGAAGTGGCAGCAACGTCAATGCAGAGAAGAATCTGGCATAAGAAGAAAAAGATTAAAATTTCTAAAATTAAAAATAAACAAAAATTGTGGGAAGTTGGCAAAGCAACACTAACCGCAGACAAAGGACCTAACTGGGAACGCAAAGAGGAAAAATCCACATCTTGTACTGCAGAAGTCCCATCAGCAGCACGAGAAACGACATCTTCCACCTGCAGAACAATGTAGATCAGCCAATCATTCCCATGCTTATTGTCAGACTGAGCCACTATAGCACACGAGACAACCAAAGAATACTAGACTCTGTTTTGCCTGGCTTGTGCAAATACTTGTGCTGTAAGCTACTGAAAGTGCTGTGAAAATTTGCTTTTAGTAAAAAACAATTTTAAAATGTACCCAGCATAGTGTTTGATAAAAGTTTAAAAAAAAATGTTTTCAATATAAAATATGATATTATATTTGGTTAACTATCTAATAAAATTAATAATAATATTTAAATGACAAAATACATAGACAAAGATTATTATATTA